ACTGGCAACTGGCAACTGGCAACTGGCAACTGGCAACTGGCAACTGGCAACTGGCGAGCAGCGTGTGGGCAGCAGCGCTCTCTAAACCAATGTTTGCGCATTTGTTATTGCCCGCCCCCAAACCCTTGCCAGGCATAAGTGGCCAACTAGTCGCATGTAAGCCATCTTTCATATGTTACTCATCTGCAGACCTTTGGGGAATTCTTTAATTCACATTTAAACCCAGCGAGCGAGCAAACTTTTTTGCTCCTCTTTATGCAAGGACGAAGCAGAGCAGAGCAGAGCTGAGCAGCTGTATCTGTGCACTTGACGTTTGGTCATTTCAGTTGTCATTTAGTTTCTTTCTATTTTCATACCCTTAATACATTGAAATCGTCTAAAGTGGGTAGAACGACTACGTTTAAATCGATGTCTGGCTACAGATTCAAGTTCTTGTAAACTCAAGATACGAATGTAAGTAGGATTGTAGACTGACTATATTTCAATTGGCTAGTTATAGTTGCTCTGTTATGTATACTCTCGTATACCCTTGCTCAATATCTTATCTACTCCTTCAATGTTAAAGTTTCATTTGTCCATCTGCCTGTAACTATGGACTATTATATTATTATTCGGTTATCTCACAAGGCAATTCGAGTAACAGAGTGTATCCTCGTCGATCTCAATCGTCTTGTTCTCCGTGCTGCTCTTGGAAAACATTGGTCACCGGCTGACACATGGCCACAGTGGCCGTAAATGTTCGGCCATCTGTTAACCTAGACGCTCTGCTCAGCTGTCACTCTGTTGGGTTCATTTTGTTTTAAGGTCTTTGGTTTTTTCGGTTATCGTTGGGGTTTTGTGCTGCTGCTGCTGCTGCCTGCCTGCTCTTCGCTTGGCATTTGACCTCAGCACGATTTTATTTTCGGTCTCAGTCGTTTTTTATTGACTCGCAACTGGCATTTTTTCATCTTTGTGTTAACCTTACTGCAGTCGATTTCATGTTTGTCATTGTCAATCTCATTTATCGACATTCGCTTTATTGCCTTCTCCTGCTCTTCCCTTACTCTTCTCCTGCTCGCAATTTGAATGGAAACTGCGCATATTTCGTTCCGCCTCGTTTGTTGACTGATCCCAGTCAAGGTCGCCTCGTCATTTGGCACTAAAAACTAGTTTCACAAAAAGGATTTATCCTTTTGCCGATTACTCCGAATGCCATTTGTATTCGAACGTCTGCCTCGACAAATCTGGAGCAAAAAGCGCCTCCGGTTAAAATTGCCTTTGACGTGGCCTTATCGCATTTTGAGAGATTTAAATGGAAGAAACATAAATAACATTTATTTGTTTTCTATTTATTTGAAGCTAGACTAAGTAACTTTATATGTGTTTAGTCTCGGCAGTTCTATATGCCTAAAATAACTATTTTAATATCCTGCAGACATATTTTATATACTGACAGCTGCCGTAATATTTTTTATTGTGAATGCATTGGGCTTGAATTTAACAGACAGCTAGACTAATGAATATGACAACAAATTCCAGACTAAACTATCTGCAATGAGTGTATCGGATTATGTAGTTGACGTGACTGTATCCATTAACTAGCTCTTAAAATAATATGAGCGTATGCACAGGGTAATAATTGTGAAAGAAAGAAAAGTATTTGGAGATCTGAAAACAAAACTAAATAAATGCGAACTTAACTAGAAAACATACTTTATTCCACGTGTACAATTAATTTAAATAAGAAATTTTCTGGCAATACAATGGATAGCAAAACAATGGCCTTGTTAAATTTATGCAAGCGGATTGTTGCTAGGGATAATAGCACAAGAACTGTCTGGTAACTGATGCCATTGCACAGGTGCGCAATACCTGTTGTGCACTCTATGCCCAGTGTACGTCATTGAGCACTGTTGCATTGTTGTTGCGAATGCGATTGTCTGGGCAAACAATGGACGTGCTGTTGGGCAACCCACTCAAAGCCTGCGACTCGGCTGGGGAAAGGGACGAGAGCCGAAAACAAATTTTGAGCGAATTGTGGCAGCGCTTGTTATTAACAAGGCATTAATGCAGGCACACAAAGGTGCCTCGGCACTCCCGCAGTCTTTCGAGCGCCATTCTGGGTAGCATAAATTAGTTGCCAGGCGGGCGCATTGTGCCAGCAGCAGATCCCAGCGTCTCTGAAAACATGTGTCGTCACTTGTCAGACACACACACACACACACACACACACACACACACAGTCAGGCAGAGAGGCAGTCAGGCTGACGGACAGACAGACTTGCAATCGCACACTGAAATAACTTACAAACACTCAAACTTCATTCGTGACAAAGTGCCTGTCGGGTGGGCGAGTGGACGCAGGGGGAGTTAGCTGGTTGAAATGGGCCAACAGACAGCCGGGCGTATACGCAACGCAATCTGTTTACCAGGCAAAATGCAAATTGTCTGGCAGCCGGGCAGAGGGTGCCAGGGGGTATGTGTGCCTGGAAGTCTCGTAGCCGCAACGAAACTTGACTTCCTCTTCTGCTACCCCATAATAGATTCTCAAAAATTTGTTTGCCAACAAAATCTGCTCAAGCCTGTTTCTTTTGGCGTCTCCTAATGAAAGGCAGTACCACATACACACACACACAGGCACAAGCACAGGCACAGGCATCCACACACACAGCCCGATAATGAGGCTTACGAATGTTGTGTCATCTTAAAATGATGTTGGCTTGCTGCGACTCTTGTTAAAAGTTTATATTAAGCCTCATTTTTGCTAACTGCACACTAGAGATGAGTGCGTGACACGATACACTCTTCAATGAGGATGTCAATCGAGATATGAAAAAAAGAATGATACAGATGCAGATATAGATATAGATACAGATGCAGTTATAAAGATACATATTCAGATACAGATATTCAGATACAGTCATTTAGATACAAATATTCAGACACAGACATTCAAATACAGACATTCAGATACGGAATTCATATACAGATATTCAGATAGAGATATTCAGATACAGATTTCCGATACAGATATTCATATACAGACATTCAGATACAGATACTCAGATACAGACACTCAGATACAGATTTTCAGATACAGATTTTCAGATGCAGATATTCAGATACATATATTCAGATACAGATATTCAGATACATATATTCAGATACAGATATTCAGAAACAGATGTTCAGACACAGACATTCAGATACAGATATTCAGACAGAGATATTCAGTTTGTATCTAATCTTTCTGATATTTCAGATTCAGAAGATTCACTGTTACATGTACAACTATTGTATAGTATCCTGTGATAGTTCCATCTCTATTGCGCACTTTCATGGCTGTCGCAAAACAGTTTGAAATCGTCATTGGCAGCCGCATAAAGCTTTTGAAATCTCACGGTCCGCAGTTGAACTACAATTTCATTAACTAAGTGGCCGTAGCAATTAAGTTTGTGCATTTTGGAATAATATAAATTAATTAGAATATGCTAATGAGTTGCTTTCGTAATACCAACGTGCGTACAGAGACGTCTGCACCTTCCTGCGCCCGGCCATCAGCATCTTTGTTGCTAAGACCAGCTCCTCCATGGAGAGCCCGAGTTAATTTAGTTGAATAAATTAGCGAGCAATGCAGGCGAATCCTCAGCAACATTTAAAGTTCTCAGTTCTCGAATGTCGACTGTCGCCTTAGCATCGCTCCCCATGTAGTTCGCCCACTTGATTTGAATGGTTCTACAAGCATTTAGCATTCTGCTCGAGAGAGTCGCACAGACAACCCGACGGACTTCAAGTATTTTCGTTCTTTTGTGAGCCAAAGTTTGCACGCAATGTACTCAATTAGAATATTTATTACTTGTACACCTAAGAACATTTCCATTGAGCATGGCTTGGATTAGAAATGAATGCTGTCTATTTATATAGTGAGTGGCGTAGAAGTAGCGCAATAAAATAAA